AGATCAAACAGAACCTGCAGGTAAAGATCAAACAGATCAAACAGAACCTGCAGGTAAAGATCAAACAGAACCTGCAGGTAAAGATCAAACAGAAACTGCAGGTAAAGATCAAACAGATCAAACAGATGATACATGAAGAACACTTTGTTTATTTTGCTCACCACGGTGACGGCATCATTCAGGAGCGACTCTCCAAACACCAGGATGTAGAGCAGCTCGTTGATGTGGATCTCCTCGAACACGGCCAGGACCGCCACGGGGTCCACGGCGGAGATGATGGACCCGAACAGAAGGCAGGACAGCAGGTCCACCTGCTTGAACTGAGGCGTCACGTCCAGCTGACACACGGCGAACATCATGCCCCCGATGAAGAAGGCGTTCCACAGCGTGCCCACCACCGCAAACACCAGGATGGTGCCCAGGTTCTCCGTGAAGGCCCGGATGGGCAGGAAGTACCCGGCGTCCAGGATGATGGGGGGCAGCAGGTACAGGAAGAAGAGCTTGGAGTCCAGGATGGGAGCCGTCTCCTTCATGGCTTTGATGACTCCGCCCACCAGTAGGCCCACGAAGATCAGCAGACAGCTCTCTGGGACCACCTGGGACACTCTGGGGATGAGGTGAAAACCTGAGGATCAAAACGGTTTTATTAAAAATGAATGTTTGAATAATTAAGCTTTTAGTAAATGATAAAAATAAAAACAGTTAAATTTTAATTTAAGATGAAAGAATGTTTGGATGCTGAGCTGCTGAAGGTTTCCTGGAACACCGGGAACCTTCCAGGATTTATTTTGAGTAAACAAACTGATCGGACTTCAAAGGCCCAACAAAGTGAGACCAGCCCCACGAGTCCACAGCTGGACCCCCAGATAAACACCAGGGCCTCTCTGGGCCAATCAGAGAGCCTCCTGCAGGGACCGGACCACAGATTAGACCTGAAACCACCAAACCGGTTCAGATTTTATCAGCTGATGTGAGGAAAACAAGGTTGAGCTCAGAGGAACGGACTTCCTGTTTGACCCGTCAGCATGTCTACAGATAAAACAGATCGTTAGTTTTCATTTATTATTAAACAGAAAACAGCCGATGATTCACACAAACTGTTTCAGCTGAGGAATTCAGCTGTTTTTATCAAAACATTCAGCTGATTCAGGAGACTTTTAGCTTTTGTAACTTTTTTTTTTTTACATAGAAAGGCTAGCCTTAGGATACCGTTACCTTTTAGTTAGCCTTTCATGACTTTTAGCCATTGTTCTACATTTAGCTTTTAGCTAGCTGTTTACTACTTTTAGCCATTGTTCTATATTTAGCTTTTTGCTAGTTGTTTACTACTTTTAGCCACTATTCTATATTTAGCTTTTAGCTAGCTGTTTACTACTTTTAGCCATTATTCTACATTTAGCTTTTAGCTAGCTGTTTACTACTTTTAGCCATTATTCTACATTTAGCTTTTAGCTAGCTGTTTACTACTTTTAGCCATTATTCTACATTTAGCTTTTAGCTAGCTGTTTACTACTTTTAGCCACTATTCTACATTTAGCTTTTAGCTAGCTGTTTACTACTTTTAGCCACTATTCTATATTTAGCTTTTAGCTAACCTTTCACTACTTTTAGCCACTATTCTATATTTAGCTTTTTGCTAGTTGTTTACTACTTTTTAGCTAGCATAATGCCACCTTTAGTTGTAACCTAGTGTTTTGCTGACTTTAGCTAGCACTTGATCATTTTAGCTTTTAGCTAACCTTTTGCTACTTGTACTTTTAGACAACATTTAGCATTTTAGCTAACAAATGATTTAACAGATTAAATGTTTCAGATTTGAATGAAGCTGAAACTTTTTAAGCTGAAATGAGCTGACAGAATATAAATCAAAGCTGATGATTAATTAAATATTTAATTGTTTGTGTTAATGAACAGAACCGAACCACCCAGGGTCCAAACAGAACCAGACTCTGATTGTTGTTTATTTATTATTAATTTGAGAAAAAAAAAAACTAAACTTTCATGTAATTTAGTGAAAATTCAGCTGAAGGTTTAATAAATGAGCAGCTGCTGAACTTCTAACTGGGTCTGAACCAAACTGGGTCTGAGCCGAACTGGGTCTGAGCCGAACTGGGCCTGAGCCCAGGTCAAAGGTCAAACTTTCCTGAACCTCAGAGAAATCAGCTGAAGTCCAAAAAAAATTTCTGATTCTGAACAACAGACTTCAAATGAGCTGATCCAGACCCTGGTTCTGAGGATCTGGACTCACCCAGCTTCATGAGCAGAACCTCTCAGGGTTCTGGTTCTGGACTCACCCAGCTTCATGAGCAGAACCTCTCAGGGTTCTGGTTCTGGTTCTGGACTCACCCAGCTTCATGAGCAGAGCCAGCAGGATCCACAGGGAGATCTCGAACGGTTTCCGGACGTGATCGAAGTTCAGGTCCAGGACCGGGAAAGTCTTCTTGTGGGTCGTGGACCTGTTTTTGTTGTGGTGCGGGTGATCCGAACCCTGGGACGTGGACCGGTCCGGACCGGACGTCTCGTTGTGTTCTGGACCAACATCCTGACTGGAGCAGGACGGGAGGAAGACCAGGAGGATGAAGAAAGCCAAGAAGAAGAAGAGGGAGCTGGGAGCGGGTCTGATCCGGGCCGAACCGAGCCCGGCCATCTTACAGCTGGACCCCCGGAGGACTGGACCGGCTCGGGTCTGCAGCTGATGAAGAAGAGGAGGAGGACAGGATGAAGGCGCAGACTTTTTACGTCATGTTAAAACGACGCAGAAATGATGAAGAGCAGACGTCCTCCTCATCTTCAGGAGCTGTCGGTACACGAACACGACCAGAACCGAACCTTTCAGTCAAGTTCTGCCTCAGACACAGCTGTGCACACACAACTGAAGATGTCAGGGCGAGATTGACCGTTAACCACATTCCCGCGAGATTTGATCGTTCGCGATGACGTCATGACGCTTCTACTCTTGACGTAAGTCAGATATCAAATGCCTCAAAAACAGAATAACTTCAGTGTTTTCAGGCAGAACAGAACTTTTCAGCAGTGTTCTGTAGTCCTGCTGTTAGTTCAACACAACAA